ATCAATATTTGTTGTTAGTTCTTGTCTATCTTATGTACAAAATGTTATTCGTCAACAATTTGTAGTAAATTTAACATCGCAACTTGTTGCAATATTTACTGTACGCATCGGAAAGAACAATTTTGATATATATTAAATATTTAAAATGGTTCACTATTGTTTATGTAAAATTTAATTCTTGTTTATAATGAAAACTGTATAATAAATGTTTTAAATATATTTTATAATACTTTGATCATAATGTCGACGGATTTAATGAACATCGATGGCCATATAAAGAGATTGCAAAAAGAAACCTTAACTCCATATAAAATAGCAACTGTTATTTTAATTAAAGAATATTGCAATGAAACGACAAAAGGTAATATTTTTGAAATTATTTAATATAAATTAATAAATATTATATAAAAATTTCATAAATAAATAATATTTTCTTGTAGCAATTGTGGAAAGGCGTGATTTTTGTTTAGTTGCATTGAAATTGATTCAAGTAAGTATTATTATTTAAGAAAATGACATTATATTTTTAAATATAATTTATATAATTTATATAATTATAAATATAATTATTTTTGGTATATTTTTTAAATTTAATAAAATAACATATTTTACTATTGTAAAATTTTAGTATTTAATTTTATTATTTGAGTTAAATAAATAAAATCTTTTTTTATATTTTTTGGTTAGTCCCCTGATATGGAACTTAATACACTTTTGAATATTTTATATTCCCCTGAATATATTTTACATCGGTTTGCACATCACATGGAAGTACAATTGAACGTATTAAGAGGGAAAGGAGTTGAAGGATTATTAGATTTATTTGATAATGTTGGACGACTCATGAAACCAACACTGGATCATTCTCTTTCTTTACCTGCTCTAAATAAAAATTCTGTTCTTGGATTATATATAAGAAGAGTTATAATCTTTTTTGAAAAGTTACCATTTGATCAAGTTGTAGCTCTATATGAAGCTTTAAAAAAATATCTTGATAATAGAATTAATACTTTTGATGGTTCTGATGTATCTGCAAGTTCTAAAACAAAAGATTCATATTCAAATGAGTATGTATTTATTATATTTATAATCAATAAATGTATTGTATATAGAATTTATTTTTAGAACTTTTTTATATTTTAATAGAACTAAAACTTGGGGTGGAAGACAAGCTGAATTACTTGTTGCACAACAAGCACATGCATTGCAGACAGATGAACATAAAGCAATGTCTCCTGCAGAACTTCAAGTTCTTGTACGAGAACTTTTAAATTGTAGTCCTTATTATGCTGAAGCTGTGAGTACTATGTGGTAAGAATATTTTTCCCAATTATTTGAGAAAATATAATTAAATATTTTTTATATCTCTTACTTTTTATACTCTTTAATATGTTTCAGCATTATTTAAGTTACTTAAACTGTCTAAGAGTCAATGAATACTGTGGAGCTATAGACAGTCTTTATCACTGCTTTGATAGATTAGCACCTTTGGAAAATCGTTCTGCACCTGAAGAGAGATCACGTATTTTTAGATATGCAGCTTTAAATTTAGCAGTTTTACATGCTCAATTTAATCATAAGTATGTTTTATATAAGTTTTAAAATTTACTTTTATTATAAATTTTATTTATTATAAATTTATTATTATTATTATTTATTTTTTTATTGTATAAATATACGTAAATATTTCTATTGTTTTTATTTTCTTTTTATTTAAGAGAAGTAGCTCAAGCTGCTTTAAAAGAAGCTATCATGATGGCCCAAGAAGCTGGAGATAATGTATGTTTACAATTAGCACATGCTTGGATGTATCATTTAACTACCAAACAAAAGTGAGTTTTTTTAATAAATTATTAATACTTAATTACTAATTTTTTATGTTATGTTAGAAATAAAATTGGAAGTGTAAAAAATTTATTTGTTTTATATATATAT